ATTTGAGTTTTCTCTCTTTTTTATAGATGTCAAATTTTATTAGTGATAACTAGGGTCAGTATAGAGAAAGGGGGTGGTGGTGGAGGGTAGTGGCGATGGAAAAACCACATGCATTATGGAATGATACGCTTACAAACAGATACTTGTAATTGCTGACAATAAGGCTTAAACCTGTACACAACGGAACAGGCAAAAGTTGTGTGATATACAGGAGGCTTCAAAAGTTTGTGGGAAACGTCCATTATTTTTAAGTTTATTTGCAGTCATCCCTGGGACCATTTGTTTGCTGGTCTGCTCTTCCAGCTGCACGGACAGGCGCGGGGCCTTGACACCTTGCAGGACTGAGACATGCTTGGTAAGCCCGGCGAGGGCAGATTCTGCTTTGTTCATAGGGGTCTCCAGGCCCTAGTCTGGCTGCTTGTTCATCTCGGGGAGCTCAAGCCAGGTTGGGCATGGCTTTCAGCTGAAGAGGTGCAAAAGAGTCTGGGGGAGAAGGAACCTCTGAGAGCGCCGGTACATGGTGCTCAGGCTGCGAGGGCTTCTCTCGATTTAGGTTGTCTTGACATTGAATTGTAATCCATGCTGAAGGCTGCAGTCCTTGACCTTCATCAGCAAGGACTTCCAGTCCTCCTCACTTCAGTAAACACGGTTGTGTCATCTGCCATTGCAGGTTGTTAACAAGCCTGCCTCCAGTCCTGGTACTGTGCTCTTTTTTCACACAGTCCAGCTTCTCTGGTGATTTGCTTAATGTCCAGGTTGAATAAAGATGGGGAGAGGATAGAACCGTGATGCACATTTCCCCTGATTTTAAGCCAGGCAGCATTCCCTCATTCTGTTCACACAACTCTTTCTCGATCCATGTAGAGCAGCGGTTCTCAACCTGTGGGTCGCGACCCCTTTGGGAGTCAAACGACCCTTTCACAGGGTCACCCGATTCATCACAGTAGCAAAGTGACAGGGATGAAGTAGCAACAAAAATAATGTTATGGTTGGGGGTCACCACCACACGAGGAACTGTAGGAAAGGGCCGGGCATTAGGAAGGTTGAGAACCACTGCCCTAGAGGTTCCCCAAGTGCAGTTACGTACTAGGGAATTCCCCTGCTTCTCAAGGCCATCCGCCTGAGGACTAGGGAATTCCCCTGCTTCTCAAGGCCATCCACCTGAGGACTAGGGAATCCCCCTGCTTCTCAAGGCCATCCACAGTTCGTTAGGCTCCCCACAGTCGACTAAGCGTTGGCATAGTCAATAAAACACAGGTAGAGATTCGCTGCTCGGAGTCAGGATCCATCCAGCAGACATCAGCAAGGAGGTCTCTTGTTTCATGTCCTCTTGTGAGTCTGGACGGCGCCTCTGGCAGCTCCCGGTCAATGTCCTGCTGCGCAGTACATTCCGGATGATCTACAACCAAACTTTACCTGCAGGTGATATGAATGAGACCGTTCTATCGTTTGCTCATTCTTTTGGACGCCTTTCTTTGGAATGGGATC